TATTCAGAGAGAATAAACCAGTTTTTATTAATAAAGGACTTGTGTCGCTAAAGTTTCGTGGGAACGAAGTTACGGAAAATCAACTAACGAACGGAGACGTAACAGTAGATTTGCGCGAAAGTTAAATTCAAACAAGTAATTATTTGTCTGTTAATTAAAATATCTAGACTCATTCGTTTTTATTTCCAAGCTATTAATGAAACGTACTCTGGAACAATATGCAAAAACCAATGTGGCTAAAGCAGTGCAGTGAACTACGCTGTTCAAACCAACGACTTCACGAATATTACACACTAAATTGAAAGACTTACTCAAGGAAAAACCACCACAACTCACCTCACTGCTCCTTTCTAAGGTGGTGTACATATTACGTTTTATTATATTAAATTGATATGTTTTTGTATTGGTAGAAAATGCCATGTAATTGACACATTGCAGACAGAGTTCAGATCAGTCCTTTATTGGCAAAAACTGACATTTATAAGGAATCCAGTTTAAGGAAGTTAGTTTTGTTGATATTGGGTTGAGAGACGTTATGATAGTCCTTAAAATAACAGGATTTCTTGTCACCCAAATGAAAAATATCCTTGTTTCGAAGTTGATTCAAATTATTCTGGATTTTTAAAGTAGCCCCTAATCGCTAAATATGCAGTTGTATTATTATACAGTTGGCCAAGAATCAAAATATATTTCCTGCTCTTTTCAGCGTTTTTAGTTTAAACGTGTATTAATCAGTGGAATTGAAACAGTTCAGAAGTAATTTATAAAATGATTTAAAATAAAATGTCATCTTTGAGCTTACATTCGATTCGCAATTAGTTAAATAATGTTTCATTTGGTCGTTGTTTGGTCATGTGATCTGGGAAGATCAGGTACACCTGGACCTCTCTCCTTGACTATTGATTTGGTTCTTGAAACTGCAGATAGCTAGTTTATTTGGTTTGGTGTGAATTTCGTGACAAGCTACACGAGGGCTGTTTGTGCTAGCCATTCCTAATTTAGCAGTGATAGACTAGAGGGAAGGCAGCAAGGCAACACCACCCACCACCAGCTCTTGGGCTACTCTTTTACCATTGAATAGTGAGACTCACCGTCACATTATAACGTTCCTATGACTGAAAGGGCGAGCATGTTTGGTGGAACGGGGATTCTAACCCGCGACCTGCAGATTGCGAATCGAGCGCCCTAACCACCAGGCCGCTTGTTCTCCCATTTTATTAAAACGTGTAGAGAAATAAATTTTAGTATATTTATTCATTTACAGAATCAACAGGTTTTACATATTCTTAATACATTTATTATACATAATATAGCTTGCCCCTCATTGGCTCAGTGGTATATTTTCGAGTTTCGATACATGTGGTGCGCAGAGTACAGATAGCCCATTGTGTAATTTTGTACTTAATAACAACCAAACTAAAAGGGGGTAATGAAATTCAAATGGTATAATTAACATTATGTAAATAGTAATCTACAGAAATATGTTTAACTTCATACAGAGTACGTCGAAAGAACTGAATAAAATGTTATACTGTATACGCACCCTTAATTGTTTGTTTCTTGGTTTATGTCAAAGCTACCAAGACTATTTGCCGCCGTCCCTAATTTTGAACCGTTGGCCACACGGAAGAAAACCGCCTGACAGCTACCACTGGCCACTCTTAGGATAATTTTTTATTAACGAAGAGTGGGGCTTGACCGTTACTTTATAACGCTCCCACTGCTGAAAGGGCGAGCACATTCGGCGCTGGGTTTCGATCCCGCAACCCGCTGATTGCGAGTCCTGCTTCCTATTCACCAGGCTATAATATTCTTGTAATAATGAACCATAAAAACTACCATTTATCTTTACAGCTTGGAACACGGATTATAATCACCTTTATAATCAGTTAAACCATTAACAATGTTATACCAATAATTAACTATATTTGTATATTTGAGGCAAAAATAACAAACCCGTCATATTAAATGTTATATATATATATATATATATTTATTGTATTTGACTCTGTATGTAAAATAGACAGAACACTGCGTCCAACTATCCATTTATTTCTCTAATGTTAGAATTAAAATACATAAAAAATTGTTTATTAACTTCGTTCCAACACAATTAATAACATTTGGCAACAAATAGAACTCTGTCGTTTAAGAAAGCTAATATATATGATACAGTTATATCTATATAATACGAATACATAGGTTACAAGAACGTACTTATATATATGTTGACCCGATATGAGAGTAGAGCAAAAGATTCTAATCTCGGACACATTTTTAATTTCTAAATTTTCCTGGTGTTATGAGGCACATCAGAAATGTCTTGCATGATAATTTATAAACATCATCGTATGCTATTCGGAAGGAAGCAAAACAAATAAAATATAGTAGTTTTCAATAGATGGCAGCACCTGAAACAAACTATAATGTCTTGTGATTTATATATATATGTTACATTGTAATTTCTATGACATTTCGATATGACATTCGTAAACAAAGCTAAACAATTTGATAATTTTACTCAATTTCTTGATAACGTTAGAACTCTCATTTTGAAAACACACCGAATATGTTTGCTCTTTCAGTTGTTGGGGCATTATAACATAATGGTCAATTTCACTATTCGATTAGAGTAGTTCAAGAATTGGCGATGTTGACTGAGTGCCTTTTCTCATATCTATCACTTCTAAATTAAAGACGACTAGCACAGGTAGACCTCGGGTAGCTTTCCGCGAAATCTAAGAAATAAATCATTTGAAAACTTCGTATATTCCAAATGCAAGTATGGCGAACACATGATGAAACGATAATATATTTTCTATTTTATAAACGTGTTTTCTATATTTAAAAAAAAACGACTGTTGTTATTAGTTACGTGTGTACTGGGATAAGTGTGTCTCACGTAGAAGTTGTTTTATTATATATGTACTTTGTTTTAATAAAAATTCACCGTAATAACTGCTAGTGTTATCTTGCATTTGTTTACTGGAACTTATGGATGGATGTGTAATCAGTCTTTCAAGTTTATGTATAAAAACATGTTAAGTCATAAGATGTTGAAACTAAGACTAACCAAATCGATAATGTCGTGAAACGCTACGCATGCGCGATGTGGACTCTTTGGATGTATGTGCGATTCAAAACGGCTTCAACTATTAATGACACAAAAACGGCATTCCGGAGTAGAATTAATATGTAAAATCGACAGATCCGGGAACATAAGTCAACGTAATATACGGGCTGAGACCTAATTAGGACCTAACTCAACTTCAGTAGGTAAATATTAAAAAATCAAGTTCTCGTGATCGTTTCAAAGTGATTCATAAGTCATATTTTGGATGAATTAGGACCTAATTGAAAGGACATGCTCCCATGTTTATAGCTTATTGTAAGAGTTACGTAAACCTGAATATCTTTCCAGGAAGTGACGTCTGCATATCCAACTGTAACCTAAGTTAGTTTTGATCTAAGTATGTAGCTTGTTGCTCTAATTGTGTATTCATTTTTAATAGTGATTTCTCATGTAACGTTATAGCCCCTGGTTGATGGCTTCATTGTGTAAAACCTTGACAAACAGTGTCTGTACAAATACATGGAAGTAAAACTATTTGCTTTACTACATAATTTAAAACTAAAATATCATGGTTTATTAAGTAAGTTTACAGCTACGCAAAATATTAATGATAGCAAATTAATATCTCAATATCATGCATCAATTATTTTGGCTATCATGAAGTTTAGCCTGAAAAGGACACTTCCTTTCGACGGCGTAGTGAAATCATTGGATCAGTAACTTATCAGCTAATATTCCAGCTTGAGCTTTCGACAACATAGTGATTTATTAGAAACTGTATTTGCTCTAATATTGAACAATCGTCAGGACTAACTAGTTTTTTTTTTCTTGTATTACCACGACGCACTTTTCTGCTTTCCAGTTTCAGGCAAGCATATTTTACATTTATGGCAGAATATTTTGTTAGATAAAAATCAGAATTGATTCTTATATAAACAGTTCCGTTACTTATTACACATTTGTTTTTTTGATTTTCAAAACCCTAAACCTTCTAGACAAAGTTAATAATTAATATTAGAAAAAAATTCAGAAAAAGGAAAAACTTTGTTTTTTTTATTTTACTACATATTTTAGTACGATTGGCAAAAAGAATGGTAGGTTTTAGATAGTAATTCAGCTGTTATTTTTCGTTGATAAACAGAAACAAAAACACAAAATATTTCCATAATTTTTGTGGTTGGCTTTAATACATTATTTTTCTTTGTTCAACTATGTACAAATATCACAACATATACATGTTTTATTGGTGCTCCAATCCCACGAAACAATAACTGTATCTGTACACGAACTACATTAGTGCACAATAGAATGATTTGTTTTTCTATACGATATACAAGAGCTTCCAATACAGAATTTACAAATTCTAATATACAATATTTCTACATCAAAACTCAAATCTTAAAAGGGGTGAAATAACGGGCTAAGGTTGTAGTACAGTTGTTAACTACACTGTTGACAAGTTATGTATGAATACAAACATTATATTTATATATATATATATATATATATATATATATATATTATATACTGTGAAGTAGGCTTAGTTTTCAAAATATACTTTAAAAACTATCAGACTATCATTTTTCACATTTGAACGATTAATTGTTTCGTAACATTACACCTCTGACGTAAAAAATTCACTTCAACCAATACAACGCATTCTAGAGAAACAAACTCTTCAGGTATATCGGAGTAGGATTTCTGATAATGCTTAGCTCGGGGAATGATGAAAATAACGCCATAAGGACGGTATAATGTAATTTTTCACTGTGATTATGACATTCCACGTGCCTGCGTGCTGTCAAACTGGATGGATAGATGAATTCTGAAGGTACTTCAAGTAGAACCGATCACGGTCACGGTGAATCGGGCGCCCCGTCTTCTCAAGATAAAGTTCTGGACTAGCACAAAGGTACCTTGAAAGCCCTAGAGTGAACAAACCTAACTTATGTTTCTCATCCTAGCGAGTTTGCCGTCCAATTGGTAGCGGCAAGCGATGGTCCAGCTACTCTTCTCGTTTTAGCAAGAGATTGGTCTCGTTGGCAAAATCTGAAGTTCTGGTAATTGAGTGGAAGCGACCTCTGTTGGCATCGCCTACAGAAACAAATATGCAACCGTTAGTACTTGTGGCTACTAGTAGCACTGCTATTACATACATCTGACTAACAACTGTTTAAAACACACATTACTAATTAAACTCCTTGCATTATTCATAACCCTAAACCAGAATTTTCCCGTCAAGCATAAAACTTGTCGTTTTTAATACTTGGTCTATTTACGTAATATTTACAATTAAGAACTGTTGATATTATACTCACAGAACCAAATTTAACATATTATACCTACTACATAATAATAACACAACTTATAGTTTAGCAGTTTATTTTTTTTAAGCATTGGTTTAAGAGTAAAATTCCTCCACGCAACTCTTTTGTAACCCTAAAAAGACACAATGTGTTTTTACAACCTGACCCCTTCCAGCTCTTTCTATATCAAATATTTCGTTCGTATTTGTCAATGTTACAAAGCAAATAATTATTTAATTACTGATCAATAAAAACTATTCGGAAACAAAGATTCTCGAAAATTCGACAAAAGAAACAACAAAAGTTTAAAATATCTACCTCTTGAGAAGCACACGTGTTGTTGCTAGCTGGAGATAGTACACCTAGTGGCTGGCGGACAGAGCTAAAAGTACTCCCGCAGGATGGAGAATCCCCACTGCGAGAAACTGAGTCACTTTCCAAAGCTATCTGTAGGTCGAATATATAGTCTATAACATTCTGGATAATCTCCAGTTTACTCAGTTTTTTGTTCTTAGGCATATTAGGCACCAGCTCTTTAAGTTTTCCTAACAACTGCTGCATTTCTTCTTGGCTAACATCTCGCTCTCTCCTAGCGGACTTACAGATCCTATTTTCCGTGCTTCTCACACCAGGTCGGCTGAGAACAGCGATTTCTGCGGAAGCCTTCATCATATATCCAAAAACGTAGCACTCGGAAAACAGCAGGTAGACGATATATCCAAAACAGGAAACGCAACTAACACGAACACACACACACCTGTTATATCGATAATTCTACAAGCTAACTCTCTTTCCGTCTCGGCAAATCTGTAACAATCTGTTAGTTTCGGGGATATTTATATACATTTCTCGTCAAAGAGGCGGAGCTCGGCTCAGCTCGCATCATGGGTGACCCTTATTCACAGCAGGCGAAACTTTCTGGTTGGTTCTTTTTTTTAGGAAAGGCGGGGCTACTCTGAAAAGCACACCACGTGTATTTGTCAATTAAATGACATCCCGTGAGAATTCCCCGCACACAAACTCCTTGTATATATATTTTGAATGAAACACAGGCACACCATCACTCACGTTCTGTATGTATTATTAACTCAGGCCGTTATTTACGTGTGATTGCAAGTGTTATTAATAAATCCTGAAAGTGAATAACTACCCTTAAGAGTAGCAGACTTGGATAGCCTATATCAAAGCGAAAATATTTTATTATATTGAGGTGAATTAAATAAAAGGTCATGTTCACACCTTTCATACATGGAAATACTTCGATGAACATTTACTCAGTATCTGTTCTCTTCTTCGTAATATTCTATTTGAAACTCTATATTTTCTTTGTACTTTGTGATGGCAAGCCTGTAGAATGTTTATTGTTACAATTTTAATAATTAAAAAATCGGAAACACCAGAAGTGATTGGTATGAACCAGATGTTTCGTGAATGAAATAATAATAACTTCCGATCAGAATGAACTGTGTACTAAAATAAAAATGAACCTGGTTTTTAACTTTTATTACGTATCTATTCTTAAAGTTTAGAACGCATTGTTTTATCAGTTGGGTGTCTTCGCTATCAACGACATTCTCGGCTGTAAATACCTGAAAGGGACGATCGTCTACATGTGTACAAATTAACCTGTTAACAAAAATCAGGATCTTTTCTTTAGGTGTTGGACATCACAGGGCAGCGTCGCCTCAGGGAATAAGTTGAATCCAGTTACGATCACATCATGTTTCAAACTTTTTTATTTTATTTTTTGACTGGGTGGATACTAGTAGAACAAGTATTCTTACTCAGACACAGACTGTATGGGCTTTGAACGACGCTTTTTTATTTGTTGTTGTTGAGGCGTATCATTTTAAATAGGGTTTACTGTTTATAGAAGAAAGCCATGACTGCCTGCCTTACAAAGAAACTGGACATCTGCAACAGTCCCTAAGGCATCAGTTCTGATAGGTCAACAGAAGACGCATAATCAGATATTACTTACTCTACAACGCTAGTCATTCAGAGAAATGACGATCCTGGCGCCAGCCAGACGGTGCCTGTGTGTTGGAAGCTGTCACTCAACCCCAGCAACCAAAGTTCCGATGGCTGGTGGCTGAGAAATACCATTACAAATCTTCACCTCCCGTTGGGTTATGCCTACTCATAGCTGCACACCTGTGTGAACAACACTTGTTAACTTTAGAGCCTTACGCCTTGGGCTTTCATGGCGCCAACTGACTGTGGGAAAGGCGGGATAGTCTGGAATGGACAAAAAGAATTGGTCATTGAAACCACAGGGGATTACCTACTCCAGACTGTTCTAAGAAAGAAGCAGTTAAATGCACGTGTTTTACAAAATTAATAGGATATGTCATATGATTACCATATTAAACCCATACACTGGATATACGTCACAATATACATTGCAATTATCAGGACTGACATGTTGTAGTTTATACATGTGTATAGGTAAAACAACAACAACAAAAAATTAAACATTTTTCACTCATTCGTACCTTTTTCTATTTTTTTTTCAATTCGAAAACAGAGCAGTTCAATTTCGAAATCCAAAGCTCTGAAACTTACTCGTTCAAGTCCACGTATACATAAAGAGTGTAATATAACTTACTTTGAAATACATGTTACGAAACAATGTTTAAAATTATTATTATTTTTTAAATAAATTATTACAAACGGCGAGCTTGTAATTATATATAGATATTGGAAACACACCAAGAATAGGATTTGCTTTGAAAGAATCAGATCTTTTTAACATTAATTATAAATTCATTAAAATACACGTTAAACGATGTAGCATATGGCCTGTAACGTACTAATCAGCACGGAATTTCTGAATGTGCTTGATGCTGTTAAATAATGTATAAATCTTAAGATTATGTTTTTAAGGCAAGACCAGTGAATAATACTAATAATGGCCAGCAGAAAAACCTGTAACTAATCAGTTTGATTTTTGTTTTCTCATGATATATGTACTATATATAAGACTGTATTTCCTTTGATAACGAATATCTGTATTACGTGTAAATGTGTAACGAATATCTGCATTACGTGTAACGAATATCTGTATTACGTGTAAATGGGTAACGAATATATGTATTACGTGTAAATGGGTAACGAATATCTGTATTACGTGTGACGAATATCTGTATTACGTGTAAATGTGTAACGAATATCTGTATTACGTGTAACGGATATCTGTATTAAGTGTAAATGGGTAACGAATATCTGTATTACGTGTAAATGTGTAACGAATATCTGCATTACGTGTAACGAATATCTGTATTACGTGTAAATGTGTAACGAATATCTGCCTTACGTGTAACGAATATCTTTATTACGTGTAAATATGGGCACGTAAATTTGTAGGCTGAATTCAGAACGTTATTATAACATTACAAAGTTGTCATTGTAGAAGACGAAAATTTTAATTTAACTGAAAACAAAGCTGACAGTGTTTGAGTAGTTTATGGCGTTGACCTTCGATCGTGCCTTCTGCATACGTGAATGATGCCATAGAAAGTACAAAACACACGCGATAATATCTAGATACTCCTAATATACTGCGCTTTGAAACATGTATCTTGCCACTTCTCTTTCATCTACCGAACAGGCATGAGACTGATAACAATGAATAAATTTACAACTGATAACAATGAATAAACACTTGAGTGATAACAATATTTGGTTTTCCATATGGTTAAATACAATCACTTTGCTCTCTAACTTGAAAACCACTATATCAGCAACACCAAATATCCGAGGACAATGTACAATCCTAGTGACGTCATTACCCTTACAGCGGACCATCACAATGTACTTTCAGCGGCTCACCACAGTTTTACTTTTTGTGCCAATTCGGATGTTTTTACAATGTGTAGAGAATGATGAATGCATGCTTTTTGGAGCCAACATGTGTGTGTATGCAAACATTACAATAAAATCAACTCAGCATTAACTTGAATACTCTTATTGTATTACGGCCAATTTTGATTGGGCATTTGGCAGTAAAGTAATAGTCATGAGGATGAGGAAATGGATAGAAAAAACCGACAGTCAGTAACATCAAATATCACCATCATTATATTAATCATGTTATTAAATATCACCATCACTATGACTCGCAATCTGCGGGTCGCGGAATCGAAACTCTTCACCGAAGATGCTCGCCCTTTCAGCCGTGGGGGCGTTATAATGTGACGGTTAATCCCGCTATTTGTTGATGATAAGTAGCCCAAGAGTTGGCGGTGAGTAGTGTTGACTAGCTGCCGTCCTTCTAATCTATTACTTCTTAGAAACGACTAGCGCAGAAAGCTCCGAGTAACTTTTCGCGAAACTTAACAAACAAACACCAAATGTTTCATACAATTTACAATATGTAAATGACGCAAAAAATTTTATACTCTCAACATTTTCATACAATTTTAAATGTGTAAAGTTCGACACAAAACGAATATGACAGCTGTTAGGCAGTTTACTTTTATATATCTAAACGAATGTGACAGTGTTAAACTGTGTGCACGTAACGTCTAAACGCTTGTGACAAACTGTTAAACTATGTGCACGTAATGTCTACGGAAAGTGACAGGTTGTTAGGCAACGTGCGCGAAAAGTGTGAATAATGTGACAGACTGTTAAACAGTGTACACGTAACGTCGAAACGAATGTGACAATGTAAAAAAAATGTAGAAGTATTATAACGAGTTAATTAAATCTTATTCGTCTGCAGAGAAAAGTGGCAAAATGTGCAATTAGATGGAAAAGTTATTAGATAATTAATTCTGAAGTTTATAAACTCCTGAAACGTTAATAAGTGATCATGACATAATTTTCCAATTTCTAGTAGGTGCTTGTAGCTATTACACATGTGAGTTTTTATGGTGTCCAGGCTGTTACATTCAATAAATGGGCCCCCAGTGGCACAGCGGTATGTCTGCGGACTTACAACGCTAGAATCCGGGTTTCGATACCCGTGGTGGGCAGAGCACAGATAGCCCATTGTGTTGCTTTGTGCTTAATTACAAACAAATAAATGAAATAAATGAAGGGTGAGATAACGCGCGTTTCTTTGGTGGGGGACAGTTGTCATGTCGATGAGGCATGATATTGTAGGAGGTACGTGTTCAAGAAACATTACTGAGCATTACGAGATATGGAGATTGTTAAAAATATTTCTTCCTTCGAGTGGAATCATACAAACAATGACATTTTTATATTTTTATTCATAACGAAGAAATGTTGAAAATTATGTTAGAAATGAAGTTAAGATTTTGCACTGAGTGTTGGAAAACTCGGATAACAACACTCTGATGCACAACTTTGGGCTGAACAACCAAAATTAAGTTTTCAGTGTTTAACACTGAGGATTCACATTTATATGGTATGCATTATATTACTGCTTTTTCAATCATATTAGTATCATCTAGACGGCCCGGGATGGCCAGGTGGTTATGGCGCTTGGCTTGCAATCTGAGGGTCGCGGGTTCGAATCCTCGTTCCACCAAACATGCTCGCCCTTTCAGCCGTGTGGGCGTTATAATGTGATGGTCAATCCCACTATTCGTTGGTAAAAGAGTAGCCAAAGAGCTGGCGGTGGGTGGTGATAACTAGCTGCCTTCCCTCTAGTCTTACACTGATAAATTAGGGATGGCTAGCGCAGATAGCCCTCATGTAGCCTTTGCGCGAAATTCAAAACAAACAAACAATCATCTAGCTATTTAAATACTTTGTAACAAGTATGAATTATTTAGCTAGTAATTAACAGGTTTGGTGTAATACAAAGAAAAGTAATTACAAATTAGGATTCATGTCAAATATACTTTAGCTAAATCTGATA